ACAGCACAGCGAAGCGCGTCGCTTTGGCGAGGGCATACGGACGGACTCGTCCGTGTTGGTCGGCTCCGCGAGTCCGGGCCGGGCGGCGAGTCAGCCACCTAGAGGCGGCGGTGCCGCGTCGGGAGGCGGGAGGCGCGAGAGGAGTGGCAGGCGGCAGCGAGAGCGCGCGCGACGGCCCGCCGAGGCGGCAGCGAGTCAGGCCGCTCTCGCGGCACGCGCGGTGAGCTCGGCGGCGACTCGAGAAGGCCCGAAGGGGGCCGTCTCACATCGGCGCCGCTCGCGCTGTCGGCAGCCGACTGAGGGAGGGCTCTGCCCTCGCCGCGCGTCGCGCGAGCCGCCTCCGGCTGCCGCAGCCGACCCGTGTGGCTCGGAGGCACGCCTGGGGCAGCTCTGGACGGCAGCGGAGGCGTGGGGAGGCGCGCAGCCGTCTATCGCTGCGCGCCCGCGCGTTTCTTTTTACCCTCACCGCGCGCGCAGCCAGAGCGGCGCCATCGACACAGAGACAGGCAGCGCTGACGAGCCAAAAGCTCTCTGATGCGGCGCACCACGCGCTCAACCACCGCTGCCGTCGCTGCCTCCGAGAACCAAGGTAGCCCTCAGACGGCGCCTGGCCGCAACCAACAAGGCACCGCGGCTCTTTCGCGGAAGCGGCAGGCCCTGCAGCATGCTCCAGACCAGACGCAGCCTCGACCTTGGCGGGCCGACGAATGCGAAGAGCTGTGCCACCGTTTGGCCGACGAATGCGAAGAGCTGTGCCACCGTTTCGCAGAGCTGTTGCAGAAGGCAACCTCCGCCACGATCCCTGCGCGATGCACGATCACACCTTCGATTGGCAACTCACAGTTCGCCATCGAGGCGGAGGTGACGGTACAGGCTGAACCCTTCATCGTCGAGTTCCAAGCGAGCCCGCTCGCAAAGACGCTGCCGGTGATCACGAATCCCCTTTTCGTGTCGGTTCACTCAACCGTGCCGCAGTGCATCACAGTCGTCTTCGATGCAGAGGGCACTGGGGCCTGGTCAGCCAAGCTGCACATCTCGAACGCCACCGACTTCGTCCGCGTGGTCGCGCTGCTTGAGGGCGTCCAGCACCCGACGCCGCTGCTCTGCAAGACGGTGCGCACGTCGAGCGGCGTTGTCGGCGTCGTCACTTCGAGCGCCGAGGGCGGCAACGTCGTTATGACGGTGCTGCAGCCGTCGATGCGCAGGCTGACGGTGCCCTCGGACGATCTCACCATCGTCCAGTGAGCGCTGTTGGGTTGAATGAGTGCATGGACATGGACGAGCGACGAGTGAGTCGCTGAGCAGCTTACGACGCGCAGAGGCTCGGGGACAGCTCGGGGAGGAGGCGCACGAAGAGGGGCCCCGGACGCGTGCCGATCGGGTTCGCCCCTCGCACCTGTGCACGCGTCGGTGCGGGGGCCTGGCGGCGTCGGCACACGCACTCTGCTCTCTGGCACTGGATCGAGTCGAAGGGCTCCCCAAACACTGGATCGAGTCGAAGGGCTCCCCAAACGCGACCGGAGAAAATGTCAGTCACAGCGAGAGCTCAGCGGAACGCGATTACAGTTCGGGACTGCTCTTGTGAGAGTGGTCTCGTTGATACCGGGGGTCAGAGAATTGTCGGTGATTGTTTGTTGTGAAGTACGGATATGGTCGGTGTGTCGCGCAGACCGGAGATGCTCCTTGAGCAGCTCTGAAGTACACCCCCGTCGACTCCGGCTTTATATCTCCGCGTACAAGGTTCACACACAGGTGTGCCAGAGGGGTGCAGTTATATCAGACGCGCCCCAAAGAGTCCGGCTCGCTAAAATCTGCTATCTGTCCGCGCGCGTCACGCCCAACAGGGACAGCCGAATCACCCTACATCTCTTCACCCGAGTCGCTCTCCTCTCCCACAGTGGACTGCCCGCCCATACGCCCAATGCGCCGAGCGACGATCGCCCCACGGCACACCGGGCATACCGCCAGAGACGCCACTACCTCGTCGTCGAGCTGCACCCCGTCGGCGCCGTCTCTAGATCTCTCCACAGCGCGTTCCCAAGTCTCGAGGCACGCGCTGCACAGCCAATGTGAGCACGGTTTGAGCTGGACCCATCTCGTGCACTCGCTCGGAGCTCGCGCGCAGGTGGAGCACGCCTCGCGAGTCGGATCGTCCGGGTCGGCCATCAGGCCATCCTCCACCAGTACGCGCGCGGGCGCCTGCAGCGTGGCGAGCGCCGCCCTGGGAAGGCCGAAGCGGCCCGTCTCGTCACGAGCGATGTGCGCGCTGTGCGACAGCCCACTCTCGTGAGCGATGAACTCGCGCAGTGCCGGGTACCCCGCTCGCCGCTGCTCGAGGCCGAGCAGCCAGCGGAACCATGCCTCAGCAATCGAGCGGAACTGGGCGGGCCACTGGTCGAACGCCCTGCCGATGGCCGCGATGTGCGTGACATACTCGTCCTCCGAAGGCTCGTTCAAGAAGTCAAACAGAGCGCCCCGCGCGTCGTTGAGCCGCGTGTAAAAGGCGGCGTGGCGGCTGTACTCGCCGATGGTGGCGAGCGCCCCCTCGCCCGCCGCGGGCTCGTGCTCGTGCACGCGCGCCTCGAGCAGGAGCGCGCGCCACTTGCTGATGGCGGCGACGCCGGAACGGTCGCGCGCCGCTGCCCAGACGAGCTTGGCGAGGCGGGCCCTCCCGAGCCCAAAGGCGAGGGCCCTCCCGAGCTCCACCGCCGACGCGGGCCGCGACCGCCCCCTCCTCGTCTCCGACGCGGCCCGTTGAGTTGGAGAGGTAGCCGAGCGGCGTCCGTGGCTCGTCCCGCTCGGCGCCATCGACGAGCGCGGTCAGATCCAGCAGCCACTGCTGCGCCGGCGCGCCGACCCCGCTCCCGGGCGGGTGGACCGCGCCGACCCCGCTCCCGGGCGCGTAGAGGGGCGGGTGGACCTTGACGATGCGAGCCGGCGCGTAGAGGGGCGCGTCGGGAAGGAGCACCGCCGCCCGCCGGCGGACAACGCAG